TTTCCGTTTTGGGAACTAGTGGCCAATTTGCCGTTTCGGCCACTAGTGCAGAGATGCCGTTTCGGCTACTACTAGCAGATTTGCAGTTTTGGCTCTTAGCTGCAGGTTTTACTTTTTTGATTACTAGTGGCAGATTTGCGGTTTTGGTCACTGGTGGGTGATCTGCCGTTTTGGCCACAAGTGGCCGATTTGCCGTTTTTGGCACCAGTCCCCGATGTGCCGTTTTTGGCACTAGTGGCTGATTTGCTGTTTTCGCCGCTGGTGGCAGATTTGCCGATTTGGGCACAAGTGGCAGATTTCCCGTATTACGCAGTAGTGAATAAGGGCTGAAAGTTTCCAAAAAAACTGTGGTGCTGCGTCGGTGGGGGTAACAAGGTAGTTTGGTTATATTAACGAAGTTGAAATTGTTAATTGACCACCGTAACGAGCAAAAGAAATGACGTTTCGAGCGGTAGCCCTTCGCTAACGCTCGAAATGTCAGCTTTTCTATTCGTTACGGTGGCCAATTTATAATGTCAGCTTAGTTGATATTACCCAGTAGTGACCGATTTGCCGTTTTAGCCACTAGTGGCAGATTTGCTGATTAGCCGTTTTGGCCACAAGTGGCTGATTTGCTGATTTGCTGTTTTGGCCACTAGTGGCAGATTTTCCGTTTTGGCGGTTACTAGTGGCAGATTTGCCGTTTTGGGGACAACTGGCCGAATCGCCGTCATGACGTGATTAAATGGACTGAATAGTGTACATAACGAAGGGCGTAAAATACACGTCCTTTATTGTTGCAGAGGCATGGGGCGTTGATCCTCTTATCCATGCTTAAATCTGGCTTCTGAAAAGAAAGGAGATTCGAGAATTTTGGTAGAATTTTTATATATCATTTCTTTCTAGAAATCTGTAAACGACATCTGTTGGTCACCTTCATCAGCTACTCTCTTCGCGTGCGTGAATGACAAGGCCGTGGAGATCTGGGATTTAAGCCTTAACACGTAAGCAACTATTGTAGTGTGGACCTATCTAGTTTTACCATAAACTGAGAGATACGCACTCCGTGACTCGTCGTTACTCATGGGGTAAATGTTGCTAATTGTAACAGCTTCAAAGGGTCCTAAGCGAGGGAAATTCCGATTCAAGTGCAGAAAAACATGTTACCTGAGTCTAGCGCGGGAAAACAAGCAACGATTGCCAAGCGCGGGAAAACAAGCCACGATTGCCAAGCGCGGGAAAACAAGCAACGATTGCCAAGCGCGGGAAAACAATCCACGGGTGTGAGGCGGAGAAAAGCATTCTTTGACTTTTCCATGCGGAAAAAAAGGAATGCTGAGCGCATGCTTATTACTGATGAAAAATTATAGCTTTGTTTCATTTCAGCTGAACAAAGGCGAATACTTATTAAGGTGGCTGAACACAGTTTTTGATACCTTTGTTTCTTTCACCATTTTCTCTAAAACCCTTGATCTCTCGGTCACCAAAACTGGCAGCAAGCAAGTTAACAACACAAACTTTGCTTTTTTGAAAGTTAAGCTGACGTATTTGGCGTTGCTTTGGCGACATCAATAGATATAAACAGGCAGTCAAGAATCGGTTTTGTTTCTTTGTAGAAAATCTAGTCGTTCAATTTTCTTTATGATTTGCATGCAACGAGCTTGTAACGATACTAACAATTTAACACCATTTTGCTAACAATTCAACAGAGAGATCTTCAATCATCCCTTGTTGACGGTTCACTCGATTTTCTAGAATTTCCTCTGTTTAAAAATAAATTTTTTCAACACTCCAGTTATTTATTTCCTTCTGTAATTTCGTGCCAAATTTCGTGAAATTCTAATGAGTAGTTCTCAAGAAATAGGCATATTTTCGAGAAAGCATTTTTCCATTCAATCGCAATTTTTTTACCTACAACGCATGCGCTGCATTTAACTGGGTTCTTTCGGTAACGACGAAAAAGCTGAGAAATTCTGGGTTCTTTGCACCGTTCACTTTTCCAACATAGCTATGTAATAAAAGATTTTATTACACGACTCGGGCAGTCAGAGGGCCAATAACTAAAATCAACCAATCAAAATGCTCTATTTCNTTTTTTGTACGGACCTCGCTGCGCTCGGTCCGTACTGTCAAGACCTCGGGCCGATATTCTCCCTGTACGGCCCTCGCGCTTGGTTGATAAGATATATAAAGCCCTCAATACACTGCGCCAACTTAAGAGGAAAATAGAAACGATAGTGCGGGTACGTGTTGAGTAAATAAAATGACCGCTCTATTGACTGCATGTTTGTTTTTTGCGATCCTTGGGCACGCGCTGAATTGCATCAGCAAAAGCGCGCTCGAAAACTGTGTTCAGCCACCTAAGTCATTCAATTGTTAATTGACTATTATTCTTTGATCTACTGTGACTTTAATTTTTTTGTTTGTTTTTAATGTCGGTTGTCTCCAGGTTGGACCCGATCATATCACATGTACCTGTCCAAGAACTAAAGTTGTCTGCAGTTCGATTTGCTGTCAATTCGGAGGTGTGTCTCTCTTTCAAAAAATTATTTCAGGATGGATCAATAAGGACGGCTTACAAAATTGCTCAATTTCTGTAAAGAATCTTCACCATGTTTTGTCCATTGTGAAAAACTTAGGTTACATTTTACATGTTGGCCATCAGAAATTTTAGTCAACACTCTCCATCCTTAGCCATCTCGGTTTCCCAATGATTTTCTTTCCGAACTTACCATGGCATTGAATGAACTATTTTCTCGATGCCGAAAAGCGATTCGAGATAACGTAGCTCCAACTCAAACCAGAGAGTAAAACAGCCCTTTTTCAAATTAACTGTAGCCTCTTACAAAGCGAGTTTTGGTGCTCATCCTTTCATACAAAAATAAGTTTTCATTCGCATTCAAATTAAATTTATTTTCCCAAGAATGTTTGAGCACCAGGCCTCGCTTCGAAAAAGTGGCAAATGTTAACTCGGAAATGGCTCAATTTTCTTCTTTAACTCAGATCCAGACCATTTTAGTGGGCGACTCGGAAGGCCAGGTTACCGTGTATCAATTGAGAGGTCTTGCTGCACGAGAGGACAACCAGGTATAAATTCAAGTTGTTACTTAACTGTATTGGCAGCGTTTATTGTTAAGAAAAACTTCATCTACAGGTTAGCAGTGTATTAAGTTATCGAGGAAATCGAAAATATCAGCATATTACAAGGAATGGTTAAAATAAGTTGACTCCATTCGACTAGGCCCAGCAAAGAACTCACTGCTGCTGCTGTCGCGACGCGCACGAATATCTCGGGAAGCGCAGCTATCTCGACCCTTGCGAGTACCTCGAGAGTTCAAGTTGCTGTTGTCGCGAAAAGTGTGTTGTTTTAAAAAGTGTGTATCTATTTAGACACTCTCTCGACACGCGTTTAGTTCTCGAAACACGCGCGGCTGTCTCTTACGCGTGATTGACGACTCGTGTGATTGAGGACTTGCCCTAGTCACGCTGAGTGTCTCTTTCTCCTCGCAAATATTTCAAAAGTAATTTTCTAAAAGAAAAAAATACTAATTCTACCACATTGTCTCAAATAGCATTTCAGTCCATTTTTTCTACTAATTTCCTTATCCTTCTTTCGTTGGTTGCACAGTTGCTTCTTTCTCCCCAAAATTCCTCCAGATTGTTTTGAATCTTGGACGGTATTGAATTGTTGTTGAGTGCAGCGCACATATGACAAGTCCATGATTCGGGAAGAACCGGTTTAAAGCGTTTTCGCCACGAAAAATACCCGTTGTAAGCTTTGTCGTTTCTGTCCAGGAATAGTAAATAATCGGCTAGAGTTTTAATCGACGGGAAATCCAAAACGTTGATAAAAGAGCCCGGTATAGCGATTTTCTGGTCGTAGGAAGCGCCACCAAAAACCACCGGCACAATATCGCGGTCCAATGGGGTGTACCAATACTTTTCTGTTACGTAATCCGAGCAGTATGAATTTTCAAATGAAAGAATGAATTTGTAGCGTTTTAAGGTATCTTCACAAGCGGAAGATTGTCTCGGACACGTTTCAGTTTGGTTAAATCTCCTTGAACATCGTCCATACACATCCACTTTGACGTACTTCATTAATTTTTTGACGAACTCTTCTCGCAAACCATGGCAGTTACTCACGACCCAAACCACAAGTCTATCTTTGCTTAGAGCATAATTTCTATCCTGGGTTTCCTCGTTTGCAATCTCGTCGGGCTGAAGTCGGGTGTACGTTCGGTAAGGCACGAAGAAATCCGAATCCCTCCGATAGGACATTGTCCAGTTGAAGAACCCGTTATACAGCCATGGTTCGTAATAAGTAAATTTTGGGCTTTCGTGTATGAAATAAACCCATCTTTGATGTGGAGTTTTATACTTCATTATGCGTTTCATGTGATGAACACTCGGTAAATCCCGTCCGTGGAATATCACTGCATCACTCCGGTCAAGGTCTTTCCGATTGTAAGAGATTCTGCATGCCTGCACACCACAAGGTATTCCGTTCCAGTTCGTGAAATTGTAATCGTTGATCAGACCTTGCCACGGTCGTTCACCGAATAAAGTCGTGTAGAACAGAACGAGTTTCAAATCGTTTCTACTTCTTCTTGTCTGTGGCTCGCTGTTGAAGAATAATTTTGGAGACATTCGCTGATTGGACATCTTTCTCAATGGAATTTTGCTGTAGAGGAACCAATGTTTTAAGATTAAAAGAGAACTTCCCAGGGTAATGCTGTAAAATAATAATCTAGTTTTCCAATTGCCCACCATGGTCATTTGCGGTTTGTCAGGGCACAAGTTGTTATTTGGAAATGAGGTTGATTCAATGGGATTGTTCCGATAAGAATTTGGTAACCTAGCGACGTAAACATCAGAAAAAACCGAAACAAAGGTCAGAACCTGTTTTTAAAAAGGATGTATTTAAATTTGCTCTCTGATTTATGTTTTTTGTTTTTCTTTGTATTTTAACTGAGAAAAGCAGGGGGGGAGGGGGGAAGCGAAAACATTGCCAGAGGGGTTGTATAGGTTAATTTAGTCTGCCCCCATGCGACGTGAAAGGCACGATCAGCGACCACTAGCCAAACTCTAGGTGATTGCTACAACAATATTTCTGAGGCAAACACAATATGAATTTGTCTTTTAATTTACAATTTCGCAACACATTTTACGTAAAACTTACTTTGTCTTGCTTTCACCGCCATCAAGCGGTCACCTACTAAGCCGTCTTGGTCTCCCTCAACAAAGTCTCAGAGGTCTATAATATTATCTCCCCTTATTTTGAACGGTCATTTAAAGCTGAACCTCTCAAGTAAAAATAAATATTCCAGGTAAAACTTTTTCCATGTTTGTTTTCTGAAATCAATGTTGTTACTTTGAGGTGAATAAGTGATTAAGGTCTAGCCGAAAGCTTCTACTTTTAAGGCAAGTTTATCCGGCGTACAAAAGTTTAAATATTTCTTATTTGAGGCGAATAGTTGTTACGTATCGTACTGATGCACTTACTTATAGTATAACAGCGACCACAATTCCAGAATTTCTTACAGCGCATTGAGGTTGAGTAAAAACTCGAGATCTAACTATGCATGTTTAAATGGTTGAAGACGTTTAAAAAAAAAATCATTATTCGCTATCTTTGTTGTATTTCTACAGGCGCGGATTTTAAACAAGTTGATCAGGCCTGTCGATAATTCCGCGGCATCTCCGGAGAAAAGGAAAGCAGATTCGGATTAAAAAAATACTCTGTAAAATGAGAGTCGCTTTCATGAGTTATTCTTCAACTCACGTGGCTCGTAACTGTTCGTAAAATCCATACGTTAGATGGGGTGAACACCCGAAACTATTTCATCAGAACTGTTCTAGATTCTCTGGGTAAAACATCAAGGGAAAGTTACGAAGAGATTTTTCGGCCTTCATTTGTTTTGTCGAGCATTATGGAAAAAAAAAATGTTTGCGGAAATGATCATTGTCGCGAATGCCGACTTTAAAATTTCAAAACAGTTCGAGGGATGGCCGATATGCAATTACGTTGAACTTTTTAACATATCTTACACAGTTGTTTGAAACCCAAGTCTACAGATTTTAATAGCGAAGAAGCTATGTTAGCGTTATAAAAAAATAAATAAATAAATAAAAAAAAAGACAATTCTCAAGAGCAAAAATATGTTTGTTCTTGAATAAAGGTCAATATGTTATTTATTTTATTAAAAATATATATCTTACAAAAAAGCGTTCTTAATAAAAAGAGACGAATTGTCCTAAATAAAGCAAGGCGTTTTCTGAAAGATGGTAACTACTGCGTTGTTGCTTCGTATTATCCTTTCAAAGACGATCGGGTATGTTCCAGCTTCTCGCTCTAAAACCTGACTGGCGGAGATGTTAGTTTACAGTTTACGGAGATGTTAGTTTAGATGTTAGACTATTACTAATAGTAATAGTCACCTAGTTTCCGAACTTCGTTCTCTAATTCCGAGTTATGAACAAATTGTCACGTGGGCTTGAGGTAATCTAAGCACACGACATAACCAACCAACACGTGTGTTTTCTTTCACTTCGGCACGTTCTTCCACCGATAACCTTGAAAAACATTGCGGTCGTTATCAAGGTTAAGGCGTATGATGCCATCCATTTTGATAGTCCGTCCATTTTAACTGAATCGTCAAAACCACAGGATGACGTCAAATTGGTTAGCATGATGAAGAAGAGGTAAATCAGTGAAAAATCTACGTTTCTTTTCCTCAGCACAGATGTCATCTTAGCCTTTTAAAGACACGTTGATAATCTTGATGTCGTCGTACGGTTTATCGTCCTTAGGATTTGTTTTTACCTTACTTATCTCTTTCACCACATCCATTCATTTGGTGACGCAGCCAAACACAATGTGCTTGTTGTCAAGCCACGGCTGTTGTGACCAGAAGAAAAAATAAATGAATTAACATCTTTCTCAGTCAGTGGTGAGAGCTACTTGGAGATGAAGAGGATCATAAAACCAAGGTTATCACAACAGCCAATCAGAAGAAACAAATGGCCTAAAGCACGGGAGAACGAAAGTGACCACGTCGCACTTGAATTGTGTTTTGCATCAGATTGGTTAGGAGGAAGACGAGGCGAGACCAATCAAATGGGCAAAAGAGCCACACTGCGTACAGGCCCAGATCCGATGGGTTGAGAAATTTCAATGGTACGCGCTTTTCCGCCTCGCACACGCCCTTCCAACGCATACCCTCTATCTTTAGAGCGTCAGCTTCCTAAGTTATTTTTTCAAATTTTAAAGAAAATGCTCGCGTCGAACCCTAAAACCTCCAACCTCCCACCACCTTCCTGTGGCAGCCTAAAGTTCCTTTGCAATATAAAGCCAAAAAAAAGTTCTCCTGAATGGATAAAATGGATTGCGAACGTTTCAAGTGAGGAAATCCGTTTCCTACTTTCCTTTGAAGACACAGTTGTCTAAGCAAAGATTTCACACCGCGTTTTCTCCCTTGTGCACTCACCGTTGGTACGACTGGGATAAAGAACTGCGAGCCGTAAGTGTTAGGTCCTGCATTCGCCATCCTCACTGTAAATGGTCGATCGTGCCGAAAATTTCTGTGAAACTCATTTTTAAACTCATCTTTAAACTCACCACCCCAGATAGACTCTCCTCTAGTACCATCACCTGATTTACTGAAAAAAAATTCGTATAATTATCATCTTGCAGAATTCTCCACAAAATTTATATCATAAAGTGGATGGAAACGGTGTCATGTTTTCTCAAGGAAGTCCCTCTGTCCAAAAGGTGACATGTTAGTTTTTACCCTTTAGCTCACAAGAGTGACCAAGAGGTAATTTCTCCTTGTAATATCAGTACACTATCGAGCAGACAAGTTATAAGAATGGAGAAAACTATCAACTAAGGGATACTACTTGATTAAAGACCAAACACTCAGACCTAACAATTAGCACAATTTGCGAGTTATTTTGGTTTTATGGTGAAAAATCTTGCTTTTCTCAATTCATCAATCCGACGATCATAAAATGCCTACCATATATGCCGAATTGTACTTCAAGGAAAAATCTGCTGGAAGCAATCCAAACTGTGTCAGTAAAAGGTATTCAAAATGACAAGATCGACACATCGTCAAAACGATACTCACCCTTGCTTTCCTGCGAACCGAAAACGCATAAAGGAAGTAGTTTGTAGATTCGCGAATATTCCAAGTGCATCGCTACTAAACCTCTTTTCGTTGATATACAGTTTCACCTCTGATTCTGGTCTGCGATTGGTTCATATCTTACTACATAAACGTCACGTCACGAAATTTATATATAATAGTCATTAAAATTGAAAAGAGCCAGTGATAGACAGACGAAAGAAAAACGTAAGAATTCAACATGACTAAACGCTCTTTTTACACAGCTGATTGTCAAAAGGCTGCTTGCCGAAAATAATTTGTTGAACTACTGCCCGATGGTAGTAAGTTGTTGATCCCGATCCCAGAGCACGAGGTACCACTTAATGTGAAACAATTCAAGGGACAAATCTTTGATATTACAGGCTTCGATGTTCTACAGGTGATAGCTGTGCTCGTTTCCATTGTCGATGACAGAAACCAGTTCAAGACAATCAAAACGTTTTCCCTGCTATTGCGAAACAACAAAGAGAACAAACCAAATGACGAGGTAGAAGAACTGTTCAGACTAACAGCAAGGCCTACGAAAGACCAACGCGGCAATAGTATTATGTTCCTGCGTCCGAGAAAAAAGACGACGTTTAAAACATAAGGCAAAACATACACAGGGCCGAATGGCGAGTTGAAGGCTACGGCGAAGTGCACGCAGATTGATATCGCACACTTTGCAAAGGATATCAAGATTCTACTCGAGAACAATGCAAAGGTAAACAACGATTTTCCTGATGCCACCATTGAAGTCTACTTCCTTTGGCTCTTTGCTCGACGCCTGGTGAGAGAACAAAACCCAAGCACAAGGAAGCAAGAGTTTGACGTTCTTCCGATTGGAAGCGCCATCGCAGGGATTTTGAAATGTCTGAGCTTGGGCAAACCAGAGACTGGCAGATTTGAAGATGATTTTCTCCTCAGGGAGAAATTCCACGTTTTCACGGGGACAAGAAAAGATAGAGGAAAAGCAATCGACGAAATCAACAAGCCTTTTCCTGAAATCTTCAAGAGAGAGAGTACGGGGGAGTATGGTACAGAGATCACGTATCACCTATGGGAGCGTGTAGAAACTTTCTGCTCCGAAAAATCACGAGAAGCCATCCTAGTAAAACAATTACAGGACCTGATGAACGAGAATGAGGAACATACATGGATTGAGGCTTTATTCGACGCAGAATCTTCTTCATCAGAAGACCACTTTGCGAAGGACTCCCAGAAGTGAGAAATAACATTTCACTGATGTTTATTTAGTTAAGCAAAGACAATAAGTTTTTATGTCTCCACGGATCAAAGCCTTCGATGAGTAACCGCTAGGATAAATATTTCGCATTTGTTTTTATTTAATCAAACGGGTGGGAGGTTGAGAGAAAATATTTTTTTAGATTACGGCGCACGTCTACAGCAGGATATTGTAATTAAACTTGCGAAAATCTCATACGTCTTGAGAAATTACTATTTTGGATGTATTTGCATACTCAGATTTGGATTCTCTTTGTCTCGAGGTCATCAGTTGATTTCTAAGAAACTGTCCTTCCTGTTCGCTCCTATCAGGGGAGGGGCGGGGGACGAGGAGGGTGGGGGCGGGCGCAATGGTGGAAGCGTAAGTTCCCATTTAATCTTGACTAAAGCAAACTTAAAATATATATGTAGACATTTTTTTTGTTACTCAACAAGCTGATTACATTCCGCAAATGTTTTTCTTAAGAAATATGTTATTTACCCGTCGGGTGGTCCGTAGTCGGAAAAACTGTACCCGAGGTCTTGGATACCGGTACTCAAGACAGAGGGCACAGTTTTTCCGAGTACGGACTGACCTATGCTGATGAATAACATTTTTACTTTTTCTAGCACATGACAAAGTGATTGCCGAAAAAACCCAAATGTTTTAGGGCTACAATTACGAGTTGAATTACGGGAAAATCCTTCGTAAACTTAACAATTTTTTAGCGAGTGGATGGTAAAGAAAACAGACGTTATTCAAATTGAAGAGAAAGCTTTCACCGATACATTTTCATTTTTAAAGGTAACTTAAAGGCTTCTGAGCAAACTTTGAAAGAGTTTTTGATAAGTAACTGTCACGATGTGACACCTGTCAACTGAAGAAGAAAAAACGCATGTACGCTTTTGAATAAACTACTGATGTGACAAACATACACGAATTAAATGACAATGCGATGATCTCCTCGTAAAAAATAGAAACACTCAGAGATCTTACGGAAAGTATTGTTTACTTCCAACGACGATCAATCTTCGAAGATTAACCTCTGTTCTGTTTTAAAATGAACTTGATTTGGAGTTCAATCAAGGTAACAAGTTCTACCTGATAAGGTTGAGTATTCTCATTACCTGTTTGCTGGATCATGGATGGATATTATGGGAAGAAGTTACATGTTAATCACTTCTGGGAGTTCAAGGTTTAACGCTGTCTGTTGAGCCTGCAAGCAGGTTTTCCTGTTTGGGTTTCATCTTACAGTCTTTATCCCGAGCGCACAGCGGTTTTTTGCACCATCGCCAACCTCTTATGGAAAAATTTATTGTAACACCTGTACTTTATTCATTAAAAAAAAAAAAAAAAGATAGCTAGCTTCGAAAATAAAAAAATTCGGAAATTCAAGTCTTTCAAGATCGGGTATTTCGGTCTACCCCACAATCGCAGCCACAATCCACCAGAAGCCGAACAACAACGCCACTTGAATAAGGCTCTAATCTGATTTCTGTTCTTGTACTATCTGGCGACTGCATTTTTGCACTTGGCGACCATTTGTTCTCTAATAGTCGCCAAAAGGCGACTTGGAATTTTTTTTAATTTCGAGCCCTGATGACGCCATTTTGTTTGTCCGTCTATTTGAACTGAGTCGTCAAAACCAGTGGATGACGTCAAATCGGTTAGCATGATGAAGAAGAGGTATAAATCTGTGATAAATGCACTTTTCTTTTCCTCAGCACTGATGTCATCTTAGCCTTTCAGAGACACGTTGATAATCTTGATGTCGTCGTAGGGTTTATCGTCCTTAGGATTTGTTTTCACCTTACTTATCTCTTGCACCACACCCATTCCTTTGGTGACGTGGCCCAACACAGTGCGCTTGTTGTCAAGCCACGGCTGTTGTGACAAGAAGTAAATATAAATGAATTAACATATTTTTCCGTTAGTGGTGCGAGCTACTTGAAGATAAAAAGGATGATAAAACCAAGGTTATCACAACAGCGAATCAGAAGAGACAAATGGTCTAAAGAACGGATAAACGAGAGTGACCATATCGCACTTGATTTTTGTTTTGCATCTGTTTGGTTGAGAAGAAGACAAGGAGAGTTTTCTTAACCGATCAAAAGGGCAAAGGAGCTTCACTGCGTACAGGCCCAGATACGATTGGTTAAGAAATTTCAAGGGTATGCGCTTTTCCGCCTCGCACACTCCCTTACAACGCGCACCCATTCTCTTCAGAGCGTCAGGTTCCTAAGTTATTTTTTCATATATTAAAGAAAATTCTCGCGTCGAACTCTAACCCCCCTGTAGCAACCTAATGCCCTTGGAATTAAAAGCCAAACGAAAGATCTCCTAAATGGGAAAAATGGGTTGCGAACGTTTCAGGTGAGGAAATCCGTTTCCCCCTTTCCTTTGAACACGCGGTTGTCTAATTAACGATTTCACACTCTGTCTTCTCCCTTGTGCACTCACCGTTGGTACGACCGTGATAAAGAACTGCGAGCCGTTAGTGTTAGGTCCTGCATTCGCCATGCTCACTGTAAATGGTCGATCGTGCCGCAAGTTTCTGTGAAACTCGTCTTCAAACTCGCCACACCAGATAGACTCCCCTCCAGTGCCATCAGCTGATTTACAGAAAAAAAATCGTATAATTATCATGTTGCACAATTCTCCACAAAATTTCTAATATAATGTGGATGCGAAAGGGGTCATGTTTTCTCAAGGAAGTCCCATTTTCCAAAAGCTGACATGTTAGCTTTTACCCTTGAGCTCACAAGAGTGAGCAAGTGGTAGTTTCTTCTTGTAACATCAGTACACTATCGAGCAGACAAGTTATGAGAATGAAGAAAACTATCAACTAAGGGATACTACTTGATTAAAGACCAAACACTCAGACCTAACACTGAGAAATATAAGTTGGTCAGATCTTGGAGCGCAGAGGTGAAGCAAGGAGACTTGAACAAGTGAAGGGGAAACGTATCAAATGGCCGCGAGGATACTGGGAAAAAATTGGCTCAGTTAACTTAAAAGGGACACATTTCAAGGAAGCTGTGTCGGCTTTAAAGGAAATTGTATCCCTACAATTTTCCCACTCAAAAGTTGTTGTTCAGTTTACCTTATTGGACGGAAAATAGGGAATGAATTCCTTGGAAGAGCACTCTTCCAAAAGGAAACTAACTCGTGCAGATGCGGTTTTGAATGAAGACTAACAGCATTCCTTACCTTCTGGATCACCAGTTTGTATCATACTCCCGATGAATCACACGATGGAATACGTGAGAGTGGTAATAACAATTCTCACTGTGAGTTGCGAAGTTTTCCACAGTCTTAGGACACCTAAAATAATTTAAAAGACGTGATAACTGTCCATAGTGGCTGTCTGGCTAGATAAATGATGAATTGTTTTCTAATATTATTAGGACACGACTGAGCACAAAGCTTGCGACAACGGCAAACGATAAAAGAGAAAAACTGGTTTAATTGTGAAGTTTCAGTTTACTGTGAGTACAGTAAACACCCGAAAATCAGAACCTTATTTTTTGGCAGTCTGGCAAAAAGGTTCTTGTTTAAAAAGGGTAGTTGTTGGTAATTTTGGCAAAACAGGTTCTTAATTAGGTTCTTAATTGCTAAGAGGGGGATACAGTTGTCATTGCTTTGCATAAGAATAATAAATTATCTTTATACGGGCTAAAATTATATATGATACTGTTTAACTGTAACTTTCAACTACCGCAACAAGTAAATAATCAACTCAACGGTATAATGGGCATTTTGTGTAAATTATCTTCTATTTCTTTTACACACACCAATAAATTGTGTCAGCAACTTGTGGTTTGTTTATGCTGTTATTTAGCTGTAACCCATATTATGAGAACCTGCTTGATCATGTTTGGCTAAACAGGTTCTTATTTAAAGGGGTATTAAAATGGAAAATTCCTGCCAAGAGGTTCTTAATCCACTAGGTTCTTATTTTCGGGTGTTTACTGTATTTGTCAAGCGATGAGGTCAAATGATTAAAATCGCGAACTTCAAGAGGAGTTTCGGAGCATTACGGTCAGAAAAGATCGATTCAATGTTACTGGCCTGTGGCGCTTCTTTAATATCGAACTTTGATTACAATCTAGGGATCAAAGGCATTATGTAAACCTACTCTTGACTAAACAGTTGAATCGTAATGTCACCCATTGTTGTGTGGAGAGTGGCCAGTTCAGGTAATTTCTTTTTGCCTTCAGATCCTTAGAGTAGAGCGTACAAAGAGATCAGCTGTAAATAGTTAAATAACAGGCTTACTTAGCAAGGGAGGTTCTTCATGTAAGAGCGCGCCATGGAGTCGACCCTTATGGTTAGTCTATCATCGAGGTGATCTACACTTTTGTTATGTATATCAGTAAAACAGTATACAGACTATCCTAATGGCGTTTAGAGGAATTTTTCGACGAGAATAATTCACGATTGCATCGCTTTTGCCATTCTTCGTTCTGTGATTGGTTAAGAAAACTCGTACCTCCCTCTGAACCAATGAGATGCCAAACTTTAGCTAATGGCGACGTGGCCAACCCCTTTTCCGCGCTTCGGGCAATATGCTGACGTTCTTCCTCTGAGTTCCCATTGGCTCCTCGCGATAATTTCCTTTATTGTAATTGGCTTTTGTGATAAATAACTTTGGATTTCGTTTTACGGCACCAAATTGCTTGGACTCTACTGGTGAACGCGAGGAAGCGCTATCCGATTCTGGTCGTCCGCTAAACTGTTTGATATAGGCTTAGAAGCGGGCAAGACAATATTGAAACAGGCTACACGCTTTGTTTTTCCACGTTTATCGACACTGAATAAAGAGACAACAAAAAAAGAAAAAAATTTACAAAGAAGAATAAAACTAAGCAGTTTCTTGCCTGAGAAGCCGCAAGAATCTCCTCTCTCAAAGGTTTCTCATTGAAAACATCACGATCACTTTTACCACTGAAATCAAAATGGAAAAACGTGCTAAGCATAAGGTAACATCTAACAATGAAACCCTACGCCTCTTTCCCTTTGATCATTTAACTCCCACAAGCGATTTACATGTAACTTCTGTCTACAATATCCATACTTTATCCAACAAACAGGAGATGAGAATACTCAAACTTATCAAGTTAAAGTTGTTATGATCTGACACCAAATTCTCGCAACTCATTAACAAAGAAATGTGCAGCAACCAAAGGGGAGAATCAACAAGCAGGTCTTGGGAGTTAAAGAGCCCGT